TAGCTGGAGAGGCTCCCAGGGTGTGAGGGGTGAAGGTTCCGAGAGACTGAAGGCAAGACTGGGATATTCAGCCCACGTCTGAGTTCCTGGTTGGTTGGCAGTGCTTGTGGTCTTGCTTGGACCATCCAGCGAGTGTGTCCATTTCAGATGGCCAAGCCGGAGCTGGTCAGGCTGGGGTAGATGCAGGTGTCCGTTGCTTTGTGCCCCGATGGCTTGCATAGCATATGGCATCCCCTCTTTGGAAGGAAGAGGAAGCAGAAGGTGGAATACCAGGTAGCATCCCATTGATTTGAAAAAAAAAAAAATCAGTGGAAAAACTTAAAAGAAGGTGACTTTTACGTAAAAAAAAATTTAACCCATTTGTAGTTTTTTTTATCCTCTGCATTTTCTCTGAACTGCTTGAGCACCCCTGATGTGAGGCCTGAGCTCAGAAAGAACTGTCCTGGTAGGAGTGAGTGCAAGGTGGATAGAGACATGCCTGTCATGTGTGTGCACACACACGCGTGTGGCCACAGTGTTGACATGTGCACATCTGACATGCATTATCAAGCAATGACAGGATGACAACTCACACTTACAGGGTTTTCTAATCCAGGTATTAGCTGTGTGCTGAACAGCTGATGAACAAAACCTCGAGGAGCCAGAGGAGCCGAGAGTCAGGAGAGAGGTCAATTGGAGTCATTTGTCTATTGATTGCTGATGAATGGCCCCCAGGAGAAAAACCCCTGTTCATTCCACACAATTAACAGACTCTTGCCCTCCCCGACAGCCTTACATCGGGCCAAAAGCTTCCAGTCTGTACTGCCAAGCCAGCAGCCGCGCTGGAGAACATTCCAGTCCGGTGAGTCAGGAGCTGGGGGTGGGCAGGGGGGCTCTGGCTGAATCCCAGAGGATCTGTTCTTGTTCCTTACATGGTCTCTTCCCCGACCGGCCTTCCTGGAGGAAAGGCACACACCAAGTAACATGAAAGTGGCTTGCTTTTCCCTGCTGGCTAACAGAGCCATTCCTGCTCCCGCCCACCACCACCCCGGGGATCAGTGAGCCCTGGGAGTCCCCAGCTGTGCTCCCAGCTCAGCAGCACAGAGGAACTGGGGGCTGGGCACGCTGTATGCATGGGTGCTGCACATAGGGTAGGAGTGGACATCAGCTCCTGGCCTCATGCAGGTGCCGGCAAGGCACTAAGGGAGGTCTCCACAGGCCACTCCACACAGACATGCTCACATACACACAGGCTTACATGCATAGGCTCACACACACACAGGCTCACACACATACAGGCTCACACACACACACATACAGCCTCACACACACACATACAGGCTCACACACATACAGGCTCACACACACACACATACAGGCTCACACACACACACATACAGGCTCACACACATACAGGCTCACACACACACACAGGCTCACACACATACAGGCTCACACACACACACATACAGGCTCACACACATACAGGCTCACACACACATACAGGCTCACACACATACAGGCTCACACACACACATAGGCTCACACACATACAGGCTCACACACACATACAGGCTCACACACATACAGGGTCACACACACACATGCTCACACACATACAGGCTCACACACACACAGGCTCACACACACACATACAGGCTCACACACATATAGGGTCACACACACACATGCTCACACACATACAGGCTCACACACACACATGCTCACACACATACAGGCTCACACACACACAGGCTCACACACATACAGGCTCACACACACACACACAGGCTCACACACATACAGGCTCACACACACACATACAGGCTCACACACACACAGGCTCACACACACACACACAGGCTCACACACATATAGGGTCACACACACACATGCTCACACACACAGGCTCACACACATACAGGCTCACACACACACACACAGGCTCACACACATACAGGCTCACACACACACACATACAGGTTCACACACACACAGGCTCACACACACACACAGGCTCACACACATACAGGCTCACACACACACATAGGCTCACACACATACAGGCTCACACACACACATACAGGCTCACACACATACAGGCTCACACACACACAGGCTCACACACACACATACAGGCTCACACATACAGGCTCACACACACACATACAGGCTCACACACATACAGGCTTACACACACACACAGGCTCACACACACACAGGCTCACACACACACACACACAGGCTCACACACATACAGGCTCACACACACACACATACAGGTTCACACACACACAGGCTCACACACACAGGCTCACACACATACAGGCTCACACACACACATACAGGCTCACACACATACAGGCTCACACACACACATACAGGCTCACACACATACAGGCTCACACACACACAGGCTCACACACACACACACAGGCTCACACACACACACAGGCTCACACACACACACAGGCTCACACACATACAGGCTCACATGCATAGGCGCTCTCACACACATCTTCATGCTGACTAGATTACACTGACCAGCACACACACATGCACACATGCCCACAGATACAGGCTGCCCAGGCCAGGCTGGGGCAGGGACACCTTGGAAGCTGGTCCAAAGGTTGCACACCTGGGCAGGCTGCTGTATCTGTGGACAAGCTGAGCGGCCATCGCGAGGAAGTGAGAAGTGAGAGGTCGGAAGGAGTTGATCTTTCCCATACTGGGATCCTGCTGTTCAGGGCAGGTCTGTGTAAGTGCCCATCCCATCCCAACACTCCCAGCCTACCACTCCGATGTGCAGGCTGTGGGGGGAGTTCCCAGTGTGGGGTGCTCGGGGAAGCTTGAGGGAGACTTAACAGCAGGAGGCAGGAAATTGGGACAGCAGAGTGGCTTTAGCATGGGCCTCGCAGATTTTCTGGCCGCTGTCCCTAGAGGGCGCTCTAAGACTTTAAGAGGGATTTGAGCCTTGTCTGGCCTCTGAATTCCAGGAAGCTTCACCTTTGAATCCCAGTCCCAGTGCAAGGCCAGTGGTCTCAGAGCAGAGGTGGCACAGGCCTGGGCCAGGAGTTTTAGGCTGTGAGCCCGGGCCCTGGGCTGCCCCTCAGCTCCCCTCACACATAGGGATGCTAGGGACCAGCAGCACTCAGATGAAGACCCTAGCAGGAGACAGAGCAGCCCTGGCTGCAACATGGCCAAGGTTTCTAGCCCCTATGGGGAGGGTCTGAAGGAAGCACTTGCTGGTTTCCAGAGTTGCACAGGCCCTGGTCGAGGTGGGTGTGTGGCCCCCTGTGGAATGGTCCAGGGGAAGAGGGGCTCCACCGTGTCTTCCTGAGACATCCTGAGTGCATGTGAGATGAAGTTAAGGATGTGCCGAGGGACACGTGGTGTGTACCCTGGATCCCGCACCCCTTGGCCTCATCTGTTAATCCTGAGTAGTTTGCTCAACCGCCCCCAGAAGCAGCTGCACCACTCCTGCTTCCTACACGAGAAGCCATAGGGTCATGGAACCTGCTTGGTGTGAGTGTGGGGAGCCCAAGCTGTCACCTGTCACTCTCAGCTCAGCCCCCACCTCCCAAGGAGCAGGTGGGCCTGGGGAGTGCGGACTACCGTGTGGGGAGATGGAGAGCTCTTCCTTGGTCATGTCCCATGAAGCCAAGGCTTTGATGAGGTGGCTTAATGTCAAGGTATCTGTGGCTCCAGGAACCCAAGTGCAGCCTTCGGAGCAGAGAGGGCTTGGAAACAAGTTAGGGAGTCAGTTTCAGAGGGGCGGGGATGGGGGGAAGGTGGAGAAGCCATGTGGCAGGAATTTGGCAAGGCAACGAGTGACTCACAGCTCTTGCCTTTTTAAGTATTAACCATCTAACCGTGGACTGAGGTGGGCTGCGGTGGCAGGAGGTGGGCCAGCTGTCTCCCCTGCCTGCATTGGGCTTGGAGGTGTTCCGGGAGCTTCCCCTGGGGAGCTGACCGATGTGTGTGTGTGTGTGTGTGTGTGTGTGTGTGTGTGTGTGAGAGAGAGAGAGAGAGAGCGAGAGAGAGAGAGAGAGAGAGAGAGAGAGAAGAACATTTCTTCCAGCCTCGCCCCCGCCATCAGCCTGCATGAGGACAGGACCAAATGCTGAACAATCATCTGGTAGTCCTCTTGAGGACTTGGCATGGGGGGCCCTGAAGGAGTGCCTCTTTCCTAGACCTTTGGGGAAACCGAGGCCAAGAGGTTGCTGTGCAGTTCAACCCTGAAGGGCACATTGGAAGACATTCAGAATGAGCTAGAGAGCAACTGCTTGGCCTTAGTGGCCTTGGGAAGTGTCTAGAAACATTGGTAGGTGCTGCCACTTCCTGGGTGAAACAGGCAGGCTGAGGATCAAGCACCAAAAGACAGCCTAGCGAATCCAAAATGTGTGTTTGAGGACAGGTTACTCACAACAGCCCAGTCTGCAGACTGAGCAACTGAGGTTTCAGATGAAAAGTACCCCTGCATGAGGGAGAAGAGGCAGAGAGGAAGAGAGCAAAGTGGCATTGATTGACTTCCCGGTACACCTGTCAGAACCAACGGGTCCAGGGCAGCTGAGCCCAGCTGAGCCCAGCTGCCCATGGTCAGGCAATCAGCTTGCTCTGTCCCCTGCTTCCTGTTGTTCCCTGGTCAGTGGCAGCTTGGTGTGGACTGAACTGCACATGCGCACATGATCTGAGCTCCTGCCACCTCGTTCATGCACCATGAACATCTCAAACTCGGTTGTGGGAGAGCAAGTGTGGGAAAGCCCACTTCCTGGCAGTCGCTGTCTCTTCCCTCCTACATCTTGCAGGAAGGAACCTGCGAAGGTTTGTTGACAGTGCTGTTTCAAGGGGCCCAGCTCCACCCACATGGCCTTGGGGGAGACTGCCAATAGCTGCCCCTTCCCAACAGGGGCACCCCACGGGTCCCAGCGGTGCCTCTCAGGACCACTCTTACGAGATTCTTGCTTCCCAACATGACCTGCCTCTGTTCTGGCTTATTTCTCCAAGCTCCAACCTGTGGGCTCTGGGAAGCCTGAATCCTTGTATGACCACTACCTCCTGGACCGTCAGTGATGCTGGAAGCTCTTGTAAAACTTCTTTCTTTCAGGACAAAACTACATCATGCCAGCTCTGTAATGGACAGTGTGTTCTCTCCCTGGTAGATTTCACGCCAGCAGACAACAAAGCTAGATCACCTCCAAGACAGCCGTCTCTATCTCTTCCTCGGTCTTCGTGGGCTTCTCCGTCTCTCTCGCCATCTTCTTCCTCGGCCAGGATCTCTGGGATTAGTCCGGATGCCACTTCCCCACCTCAGGTGAGTGTCCCTGGGTCCCTGCACAGGTGCTGGGAAGGTGAGCTGCCTTGGGCCTGGCACCTCCCACCTACCATATATCTCTCTGGATTTTCATGTATGTGTTTATTCCTTATTGGAAAGATCTCCACCAGCCTGCTCACTCCCCAGATGCCCACCACCAAGGCTGTGCAGGACTGCAGCCAGGAGCCTGTGTCTCCAGCCAAGACCCCCAATTGGGCAGCAGGGACCCCATCACTTGAGCCATCATCTGCTGCCTCCCTGGAGGGCATTAGCAGGAAGCTGGAATCAAAAGAAGACAGCAGCCAGAACATAGGGACGCTGTCACTGGTTGTGCATGTGCCAGGCGGTGTTTTAAATATGATCAAATGCCTGCCCTTTATGTTTTTAAAATTTTTTAAATTAGTTTTTATCAGACGCAGTGTGATGTATAGACACAATTCTAAGAATCTCCCCCTGCCTCCCTCCTTCCTTCCCTGCCTTCTGCCATCCTTCTTTCTCCCTTTGTGTCTTTTTTATTTTTTGAAATAACGTGATTTAAATTTACATATAGTTTAAGAAATAAAAAGCTGAAAGACCCTAGTTCAATGCCAAATGCACACCCTTTAATTCTGTGTTCTCTGTACATTTGTCCCTTCACACCACGTGCAAAGTCAAGGACAAGAGACATGCTCAGACCTGCACACTCAGGAGCAGGCTCAGCCATTCCCAAGGACACAGCCAGAGCCTGGATGACAATGATGGCTCAGGGCTAGGTGTCCAGCTGGGCTGAGAGATGCAGTGAGGTTAGACATGTGCTGTCCTTGAGGGACCTGCAGAGGGCACTGTGGAGCTCATAACTGAGGGACAGCAGGTGGAAGTGGGACTGGGCTCCCTTGTGGTCCAGCGGGTTAAACACCTGCAGTGGACAAACACATTCAGTGTCAGAGTGCTGGTTCAAGTCGCAGCTACTCTGCTTCTGATTTGGCGTCCTGCTCATGTATCCTGGGAGGCAACAGCTGATTGGTCAACTGCTTGGACTCCTTCCCACCTATGTGGGAGACCCAAATAGAATTCCAGGCTCCTGGCTTCAATATGGCCCTGCCCTGGATCTTGTGGGCATTTGGGGGGAGTAACTAATAGATGCAAGATTCTCTCCCTGTCTTCCCAGTATATAAATTTGTTTTTAAAAAAATATATTTTTAAAGAGGAGTAGTGAGGATTTTATAGTCTGTGAGAACCTGAGAGGCAGCGTCACTGTGGAATAGAAGGTGTTGTCGAGGACATGCAGGCTGGCCTTGAGGCTCTGCCACCTGCTCAGCTCTGGGGGTAGCATGTACAAGGCAGACATGGAGTGTGTGCTGGCGAAGCCTCCATTCCTGTGCACCAGAATCCTTGGCGGGGCACAGCTGTTCCTTCTAGAGCCCCCTCGTGTTCTTTCTATGCCAAGGGTCAAGTTCTTGCATGTTGAGAATGACTACTTTCTCAGGAGCACAGGTGAGACTTAGATGAGTCTCTGGAATATTCTAAGGGTCATCCAGCGATGCAGACAAGACACGGCTCTCCTTACCTGTTTGTCTCTGATGGAACTCCTCCGTGTCTTGGCTCACCTGGAAGAGTACAGGCGTGCCCATTAGCAGGGTCCATGGCTGAGCAAGCCTGCATGGATGCTGCCTGCCCCTATGTGCCTGGTCACCCACAGAGGCCAGCCCTCTTATCGCTGGCCCAGGAGCTTGTCCCAGCAGTATCAGTACCTTTGCCTTCCTCCCCCACCTACTGTGAGGTGTAGACAGCATTCAGTTAGGACTGGCTGGGGAACCTTTGCCAGATCCCAGCAGGTCCTAAGGCAGCCCCTTCTAGGACTGGAAATACTACATGACCAAATTCCCTTTGGCTTTTGGTATTAGATCTGGAGCAAGGGAAAGGAGTGAAATGTGGATGGACATTTGCCTTCCCTGTAGAAATAAATTCTCAGAGAGTGGCTTGGCGGGGTGGGGGAATACTTAACTGCTATTTGCTCCCATCCCTCCTGATGACAGCTTGTGGTCCTCATCCGCAGGGCTCCGCTGGGTCTGACAGTCCACCCACCCCGATCTTTCTGAGACGTGCCAGATCCCACGGAGTACTCCTAGAAATTCCCCTCTATGTCCCCCACGAGCCAGTGCTGGAGCGGGCAGAGTTCTGCCTGGTGAGCCCTGTCCTGGACAGCCTCACCAGCCCCACGGAGATGAGTGCTGGTGTGAGCCCACAAGCACAGGATCCTCCCAGGGACGCCAAGAGCATCCTCCAAGATCCGCACCCCACTTTGGGGAACAGCAGATGCTTGTCGGACCAGAAGCCACCTCCCAGGACTGCAGAGGGACGAGGGGAAGGGAGGAATGAACCCAGGAGGGAACAGGAAGGCAGATCAGAGCTGGCAGAGGACAAGAAGTCAGGCCTGAAGAAGCTGGTCCTGAGTCCGGAGCAGAAGGACAGGTTACTGGATTGGAATGATCCCATCTCTGGCAATGTGCGGCTCCCCCAGGACAGCACTGAGAACGGCAGAGGAGGCCGCCCCTTGCCACGCCCTCAAGCACTGCCAACCCAGAGAGCAGTCCAGGGGCAGACGGGGGCCCAGGCAGACCCTGCACTGGGGGAACAAACAGTGCCTTCTCCCAAGTCCCCACTGAAGTTCCTAACACATGCCTTCCGGAAGACCCTCCGGTCCAGCTCCGAAAGTGGGAAGAAGTCCGGGACCAAGGCTGAATCCAAAACTTCCCCCACCCAGCAGCGCTCCTTCAGCCTTCGGAAAAACAAAGAGCGGGCCCCGTGGTCTCCCGGAAGAGACATGATGAACAAAGCTGCTGCCTTCTTTTTCCCTGGCTCTCCAGTGGCCAAAGCAGCCCAGGTCCCGGACACGAGCCCTGCTGACCCTGCTCTCCGTACCCACAGTCTGCCCAATCGACCACCACTCAAAGGGCCACCTGAACTTGCATCCCCTCGCAGCAATAAGATGGACGATGTCTCTTCACTCCTGGAGAAAGTGACTTTGCGAGAACACTCCGAGGGCCCCAGGGTTCCAAAGAGAAGATTCTCTCTGTTTTCCTCCTTCAGAATCAAGACGAGATCTTCTGAGAGTTTACCCCAAGAACCCAAACCAAGGAAGGATGTGAGAGACCTCTTTGGGGGTCCCAAGGAGACAGGGCTGACCATGGATGGCAGGCAGGCCTTGGAGAAGTCGGGGCAGCTGGCTCAGCCTCCTCCTGCAGTGGGAGATACAGGTATGTGTCCCTTCCCTGAGAAAAGTTCGCAGTTGGTGCTGGGCAATGAACTCTCCTCTTGAAACTAACAGGCACCAAAGTCTAACACCAGGAAGGAAACATGAAGCTGAACATTTAAAAAACAAACCTTAAAAACTTAACATTTTGCTATAATGTGATAGAAAGTGTTAGCAAACACCATGTACCACTCTCCCATTTAACTATTCCTGTGAATGTTTCATTGAGTAAAGGATCATAGAAAACAGAATTTTAAAGCTTATTTTGGCACACATTTGGAAATCCACTAAAAGCAGGAAACTGGAAGGGAAGTGGAGCAGCCAGGACATGAACAGGTATTCGTATGTGGTCCCAGTGCATGCAAGGCAAGAATTCAGTTACTGAGCCATTGCACCGGACCCATAGGATGACTTTCTTGAAAAGAAACAGAATGGGGCCCAACGTGATGGCGCAGTGGTTAAGGTCCTCGCCTTGCACGCCCGGGATCCCATATGGGCGCTGGTTCTAATCCTGGCAGCCCCATTTCCCATCCAGCTCCCTGCTTGTGGCCCAGGAGAGCAGTCGAGGACAACCCAAAGCTTTGGGACCCTGCACCCACTTGGGAGACCCGGAGGAAGCTCCTGGCTTCGGATCAGCATAGCATCGGCCCGTTGCACTCACTTGGGGAGTGAATCATCGGACGGAAGATCTTCCTCTCTGTCTCTCCTCTCTGTGTATCCACCTTTCCAATAAAAATAAAATAAATCTTAAAAAAAAAAAAAGAAACAGAATGAAAGTGAAGGGAATTGATTAGGTTGGGGCTGGCCTGCTCTGGACATAACACCTGGGCTCATCTCCAAGAACACTGTGTCTTCTCAGGTATTCCTCTTCGACAGTATTTTAAGAATATAAAGATTACAACTAGGCTGTCCGATTAGGCCTATCAGTCTTCTTTATCTCCTTGCCTTTCTCAGCTCCCTGCCACACACACACACACCAACACTGTAATCTATACATTTAATTGATAGGTGCCTGTCTGCAAACAACGAAGAGAGAAAACATTATCACACCCTTTCAAATCAGAGTGCCTTAAATGTGTGACCACTCAAAGTCAAGCTAGAATTTCAATTTTTTTTACAATACAACTTTTCAAGTAAATTCATGATATACATAAACTCAACAGAGTATTTAAGTGACTTAGGGGGAAGACTAGTTTCAAGTCCTTACCTGTATTTGTTTTATTATACAGTGTTAATGCTAGTTGTCCTTCTTGTGTGTAATTTAAACAGGTACCTTGAAGGCACTTCCTTTAGGTCTGACCAAATTTTTTATGTCAGATGGCATACAGACAACATCCACTAAGACCAAGTCTATAGCTCATGCAGTCTTGGAGAATGTACCCTTGGCTCACACTCTGAGATCAAGCTTTTGAATATTACCAGCCCTCACTGCCCTCTTTGGAAGGAAGGACAGGAGGGTCAGGGTCAGGGTTGAATCTCTACTTCACCTAACAATTTCTCTTTCTTTAATTTTTATTTGAATTTTGAATTTTATGGCACAATTCTGTAGAGTTTGAGATTCCTTCCCCTAAAATTCCCAACCCCCCCAACTGATTTTCCCCATATCATTAAAATATTATAATCTTTCACAAGGAGTCAAAATTCCATCAGTCTGTTATTTAAGTGTGTCCTGACATTGCTGATCCAGACAATGTCAGACAGTCCAGCATCCCATTGTTTAGTTATGTCCAACAATTTCATTGGGGGTCCGTCTTTGATTTGGAAGGAGAGATGCATACTACATTGTATCTTCACATCTGGATATGATAGTCTATTACACATTACTACACATTCCCTTAAATAAGAAGCCATGTAACAAAGTCAACAACAGGAATGAAGTTAAAACCAAACATTTACAATACCACGGAATTAAACAACATGCTACTGAATAACTATTGTATTGAAGAAGAAATGAAAACACAAAAGTCTCTTGGGTAAAATGATGCTACTATGTGATCTATGAGTCAGTGAAGAATTTGATAATAGGAAAAAACTACTTGCTTTATTGTGTTTTTAAAGATTTATTCTATTTTTATTAAAAAAGATTTACAGAGAAGAGACACAGAGAAGATCCCTGTTTGTTGATTCACTCCCCCAAGCGCCTGCAATGGTTAGAGTCGTGCCAATCTGAGCCCAAGAGCCCAGAGCCTCCTCCAGATCTCCCATGCATATGCAGGATCCCATATGATGCAGCTATCCCACTCCTAGGACTATATCCAAAGAAAATGAAAACTACATATGAGAAGGGGATCTGTAATCGTATATTAACAGCAGCACAGTCTACAATAGCAAAGACACGGAAACAACCCAGATGCCTGTCCAAAGAGGAGTGCTTGAATATTCTGTGCTGTATACATACGGAGTTTTCATTATCCATTCACTCATTCACGGACACCTAGGTTGATTCCATATCTTGGCTGTTTTGAATAGTGCTGCAATGAACATGAGAATTCAGGATTCCTTTGTTATACTAGTTTTATTTCCTTTAGATATGCACCTGTAAATGGGATAGCTGAGTTAATATGGTAGATCTACTTTTGGTTTCTCAAGGAGCCTCCATGCTGTTATTCACAGTGCTGTACTAATTTACATCCCCATAGCAGAGGATAAGGGTTCCCTTTTCTCTGCTCCTTGCCAACATTTGCTATGTATTTTGTTTTGGATGGTAGCCATTCTAACTGGACTAAAATATTTCTTTATAGTTTTGACTTGTGTTTTCCTGACATCTGATGGTATTGAGTGTTGTAAGGTATATTTTCTGGCCATGTATGCTTCTTTTTTTTTTAAGATTTATTTATTTTTATTACAAAGTCAGATATACAGAGAGGAGGAGAGACAGAAAGGAAGATCCTCCATCCGATGATTCACTCCCCAAGTGAGCGCAACAGTCGGTGCTGCGCCGATCCAAAGCCGGGTACCAGGAACTTCTTTCCATGTCTCCCATGTGGGTGCAGGGTCCCAAAGCCTTGGGCTGTCCTTGACTTCCTTCCCAGGCCACAAGCAGGGAGCTGGATGGGAAGTGGAGCTGCCGGGATTAGAACCGGTGCCCATATAGGATCCGGGCACATTCAAGGCGAGGACTTTAGCCACTAGACCACACCGCAGGGCCCCGTGTATACTTCTTTAGAGTTATGTCTGTTCAGATTATTTTTCCAATTCTCAATTGGATAATTTGTCTTTCTGTTGTTATACCTTCTGAGTTCTTGATATGCTTTGGATATTCATTCTTTGTCAGATCTTTTCTCCTGTTGCTTGACTTACTTTTTTTTTTTCTGCTGTTTCCTTTGCTTTACAGAAACTTGATAATTTGGTGTAATCTCATTTTTCTAGTTTTGTTTTTGTTGCCTATGCCTTTGAGATTTAAACAAAAAGGCAGTTGCCTACATCAATGTCTTGAAGTGTTTTCTTTATGCTCTCTTCTGTTAGTTTCATAGGCTCAGATCTTGTGGTTAGGTTTTTATCCATTCTGAGTTGATTTTTGTTTAGGGTGAGAGATAGGCTCAAGTGCCAGTCTTCTCCATACTGATATCCACTTTTCCCAACCTCATTTATGAAAGCGACTACCCCTCTCCGTTGTGTTTTTGTCAAGAATCCAATGACTATAGATGCTTGAATTCATTTATGAGGTCTTTGTTCTGCTCCTTTAGTCAATGTGTCTGTTTTTTGGGGAAAAACCATGCTTTTTGAGTTGGGTAACTATAGCTCTGTCATGTGTTAAAATCTTATGATGCCTCTAGCATTTGTATAAGTGTTATACATATTTGAGGTCCTTTTGTGCTTCCATGTGAATTTTAGGACTTCTTTGAGTTTTGTGAAGACTGTCAGCAGTGTTCTGAAGGGTAGGGCTTAAATGTTTAAGTCACTTCAAGTGTCAGAGACATTTCAGCAATATTGCTTTTCTGATCCATGTCCATTAATGATCATGTGCGTGTGTCTTCAGTTTCTTCAGTGTTTAATAATTTTTACTGTTGAAATCTTTCACATCTTTGAGTAAACCTATAGATAATTTTTTTTTCTTTTTGTAGCTGTTGTGAATTTAACCAAGTCCGTGCAGCTTTTAATACTACTGAAGAATAGCTAATGCACTTTAAATATTTTTAAATAAATGTTAAGAAACAAAATTAAGTCAGAAGGAGCCAAATCAAAAGTGTCACATGGCTACCTAATGATTTCCCATTGAAACTCTCCTAAAATTGTTATTATAATGAGAGGACTGATCAGGAGTATTGTCATTTGCAGGACCCTGAGGCATAGATTTCCCAGGGTGTTTCTGCTAAAGCTTGACTGACTTCCTTAAAATCCTCTCAGAAAGTGCACAGGCAAAATCCTGGAGTCTCCTCAAAATTGTTATCATGATCTTTGCTCTTGATCCACTTTTGCTTTGACTGGACCACTGCTTGATGGCCACTGCTTCTCTGTCTTCAGGGTTGTGATGGTAAAACCATATTTCTCAAGACTGCTTCAGGGTCTTCATCACCTATGTTTAAATCAGTCTACAGCTGAGCTGGGTACAGTGGTTTAGAGTTTGCTCCATTTTGAGTTTGTGTTTAGAGCTCTTTGGGTTGATCCAACTATGTGGTGGATGGTGTTGGCTGTTGTTTCGCTGTTACTATCGGATACTGTTGAGTTAGAGAGTGAATAAGATTAATCGTTTTCTTCTAAATTAATGTGGGTTCTCTGTCGCAGCAGTTTCATCTTCAGCATGTTTGTATTTCTTTTAAAGCAAGTGATTCATTCTCAAACTGCTGGTTTCTCTGGGACATTATCCCCACAAACACTTCATAGAGTATCAGCAATGACGCTGTTCCTCCGTGGAGGCTTCACCATTCTTTTGGCGATTGTTCTCACTTCTTTTCTAGCAGGATTCAAATTGCATGGACAGGGACTTTTTAAAATTGATACCTTTTCCGTTTCAGTGCTTCAGATAAGATTTTATGCAGACAAGCTATACCAACTTAGTCTGAGTCTATTTTACTGGAAAGTTCTAACACATGCAAATGTTTTCATAATTGTCTTTTCTATGAACTTGTTGAATATCGCCTGGGTACTTTTATTTCTTTCCCATCTTTTTGTTATTTTGCAATAATTTTTGCTTCAACTTGTTTTTAAAAAAACCTTCTTTTCATTTCTTTGTATCCTTATTTCTTATCTATATATCAGTGTTACAAACCGCAGTGGAAACCAAGAACAAAAGTTGTATTCACCATTTCTGAAGTTATTCATCACTTAGCATTGTATATACTTTATACCACATACCTTTTTACACTTCTGTATGCGTATCTGCCAATAACAAATTACTACAATTTTCTGAAAATAACTTTATTTTGTCTTCATTGTGAAGGGATAGTTTTGCTGGATATAGAAATATAAATTGGCAAATTCTTTTTCTTTTAGCATTTTGATGATATCATCTCATCGTCTCTTATTTAGATTCTTTGTTTCTCTATCCACAATGCATCATTTTTCCTTGTCATTAATTTTTTTTAAATTCTTATTTGTCATTCAGAGATAGAATGAACACCCTACTGGTTCACTCCCCAGAGGCCCACAATGGCTGGGCCTGGGCCAGGCTGAGTCAGGGAGCCAGGAACTTGACCTAGAATTCCCACACAGGTGGCAGAGCACCGTGTCCATGAACCATCAGATGCTGCCTGCAGGACTGGCTGTAGCAGGAAGCTGGAATCTAGAGCCAGAGCCCAGATTTAAACTGGAGCAGTCCAGTGTGGGAAGTTGTCTTGATCAGTGCTCTTTGAGATTTCTGTCTCTGATTTTCAGCAACTTTATTATCACAGGCATTGCTACAGCATTCTTTGTATTTATTCTATTTATGGTTTATTGAAGTTCTTGGAACTGGGGATTTGTACTGTTCATTCTGTTTGGATGATATTCAGCAATGTGCAATGCCTGCTGCTGTTGCTCTGGTCTCTCCCTGCCTCCTGTCCAATCATGCATACTTTGAACCTCTTGATTTTGTCACTGAGGCTCTGTTCATTTTTTCTGCTTTTTCTTGTTCACTTTTTCTTCTTTGCTTCGTTTTGAAGAGTTAGTTCCTGTTACTATTACTGAATTTCAGTGATTATTTTTTCCTTTGCAGTGTTTAACCTGCTGTTAACATGGGCAGATGAAATTTTACTTCCTCTTTTGTGGTTTTCATTTTATAAGTTTCTTTACATTTTTTATAAAACTCATGTTTTAAAGTTTTTAATTATTTTAATTGACAAATTAAAAAATTAGGTCTGCTTTTGCTCTCTAATTTTTCTCTGGATTATCAAACTTTTCTCACCTTGTTTATATGTCTAGTCATTGTTTACCAGCTTCTAGACTTTATGGAAATTACACTGAGTGCTTTGGTTCTGTTTCTGAGTTTAAAGGATGTTTAGTAGGAGTTGTTGTCATGATGCATTGATTTAAGACACATCCCTGCATCAATTTCTTCCGATATGAGTGCTGATTCCAGTCTCAGCTGCTTCACTTCCAGTTCAGCTCCAAGCTGAAGTGCCTGGAAAGGCGCTGGGGGATGGTCCAAGTACTTGTGTCCTGACATCTGCATGGGAGACCTGGGTGGCGTTCCAGGATGCTGGCTTGAGCCTGGCTCAGCTTTGGCCATTGTGGCCATTTGGGATTGAACCAGTGGATGGAGGATGAGTCTCTCTCCCCGCCTCCCCGCCTCTCTCTGAGTACAACTCTGCCTTTCAAATAAACACAATAGATCTTTAAGGAAGATAATGTTACATAAGGAGTAAAGAATGTATGGCGGGCAGTGAAACACCTTTGTTTCCTTCAAGGCTTGGAATTTTTAGCTTTGTTCAGGACCAGGACTGTATAACCTGTAATCTAGGGTTAATTGGCTCTATTAATAAAGGATGTTGCTTGTGTGGCCTTTGCTAAGGCTTCGCATGTTTGTTCCACCCTGGTTAGGTAGAGCTTAAACATTTCCCTGTCCCGCAGAAACTTTGGGGATTGTTTACGGTACTTTTCCCAGTATTTTATTTTTTTTCTTTTAAGCAACATCATGGAGTTTCTGTCTCTGCACCAATAGTTACTGTTAAGTAACAGCCTCAAAGGCACTACAGTGCTGATTTCTGAAGTGCTGTTTGTATAGCTGCTTTCCAGTAGTGTACCCCCTACACATCCCAGCTGCCCGAGCTCTGATCTCTGGGTGCTGTACTGGTTGGGTGCTTCCTTCCTGTGTGCACTGAGGTATAAAAAGGGACAACTCCAGATGGAAATCTGCTGCATTTATAGGGTTTTTTCCTGCATGCTTGCCTTTTTCATAGCTCTGGATTGCTACCTGCCCAAAGTCTGGAAGCAGACCCTTCATATATGTTTGTTCTGATCTCTAGTGCTTTATGGTTGAGAGTCAATTCCAGAATCTGTCACAGTAACACAGGCAGATTGGAACAATGCTGCAAAGTTTCTAAAAATTGCAAATAAAATGCCTTCCTTGAAAGTAAAAGAGAAGTGAATCAGGCAGCTACATCTCTTCTCTCTTGCCAGAAGTTTCACAAGTTTACTATATTTGGACATAATTTGTCCCCAGTTTCAAAATGTCATTCAATGCAAAAATATTTTTTGAAAATTAAATTTCGACTTGTGATTTGTGTTCGCTTCCTCTGGGAATGGAGGGCAATTGGACCATTTTCCTAATCTTGCAGTGCCGTTCATTTGCACCATGATGATGATGATGAAGTGGCTGTGTTTAACAACGATAAGATGTACTTGTGCACGTGCAATGTTCCTGACGCCGTGTTGGGCAATTTGTGGTGATTAGCTTAACTCTTTCCCAACAATTCTGCAAGTCAGAAATCAGGATTCTGAGAAACTTGGGGAAGTCAAGTTAGCTCCTCAAGATCACAAACACTAAGAAATGCATGCCTGGTGACTAAGTTACTTTATGGCATTTAGAGGCTGAAAGGAGGAGATGATCCCAGGATCCCAGTTCAGCACTAACAATGCCTCTTCCCTTTACTGTGCCCCACTCAAATTCCATCCTCACCTGAGCTCTTCCATCTGGCAAATTAAAGTGGAAAACAGCAACCTCCCTCCCCAGAGAGGCTGTGTTATTATATAGATGTTTGACATTATTTTGCTTCCAATAACAGCGTATGTAAATGTCCTCCTGGAGGTTGAATTACCCTTCTTTTGTAACACTTGGCCTCTCCCACTGGGGTGAATACATGAAAATTATGGAGGGAAGAAGGCAGGCTGGAGAAAATGTGAGTTGAGCTGGAATTGCCTCTGCCCTGCTCCCTCACCACACCCCCAGCCACTGGCCACCAGACACACACAGCACATACACTCCGCATATTTCTATTTGGGTAAAAGCTGCCAGGACAGTACCAAGATGAATCAGTTTCCTGTCACAAATCTGTAGCTGGTTCTCATATTCAGTGTCCAGATATTCACCACTGACTCTGCATCAGGTTGATGGGTAGAGGCAGGTGTTCTTGCTGAGAAGAACAAAAGCTGCCTGCGGCACCTGGGAGTCACAATCACATGTCCCAGTCGTTTCTCAAGGAGATGGTTGCTGGCCTGGGCACACTGTGGCTGGCTACCCACGTGTGCATAGGCTGGCACATCCCTTCTGCTATGGCTGTCCTGTGGAACCTCCATTGTTGAGCCTTTCCTGTCTTAAACTGCCTTTCCTGGCATTGGGATTATGGCTTCAACGACATGATATTATCTGCAAGTTGGGAAAATAAAAGTGGCATTTGTTTAGCCATAATTAATAAAATATTTATGTTGCATGAGACTATGTGATAAAACCTTGCGCTTAAAGTCCTTTTGCTTCTGATTACATTTGGGAGGTTTTTTTTTCTCCTCTTCTTCTATGACCAGACATTCTGACGCCAGCTCTTTTACACTGAGCAGATGTCATGTAGTAAAAATGGGTGCCAGATGCTGTGAGCCACAGAAGGGCGATTTGTTTAAGAGCTGGCTCCTACTTTTTTGCATTCAATTACTCTACAGAGCGAACCTTACACAAGCATTGAGGTAACTCAGCTAACTTCAGACATGCATTTTAATAATAGATTTCGTCTCTGAATGCATTCTAAGCAATGCACCATATAAATGGTGTTTAAGGAATTAATTGATTTCTGCATAATACCTTTTTCTGCTCTCAATGTGAAAAGAGAGCTGCAAAGCTCTTGGCAGGGATCCAGAAAAGTAATTAACGTGGAGGGCCAAATTTTCAGTTGCCCTTAGGTACTGCCTCTTCGTGCTCCTGGCAGGTGCAGGGAGGAAGGGAATGCCGCTGAGTGGGGAGGAGGGAGAGGCAGCTTTGGGTCGTGGGGCAGAAAAAGAAGCTGTCAGATCACTGAATCTTCCTGTTCCCGTTTCAGGCTCCAGGCACATCCCTGTGAGGGCGCAGGCGATAGATGCTGTCTCTTCTCTTTCTTCTGCCACCTCCTCCTCTACAGATGAAGAAATGGATTCCCAGCTTTCATTGCAGGCAAAGGTAATAGCACTTGGAAGAGCAAGGAGGGCCTTGGCTGGTGAGGGTCGTCTGCCGTCCAGATTGCACAGCCACTGTGAACTACAGCTGCAGTGGTTTTTCAGTAGGCTCACATCACATTGCATGTGATAGCACTCATTTTTACCTGGAGGATCCTGAGACTTCTCGCTCCCTCTCTTTCTGTGTGTCTCAAAAAAGGAAAAAAAAAAAAAAAAGAACAAAAAAAGCACTTTCTCAGAGACTCAAATTGGGGAAGGACAGAAAAAAAGGGAGAGACAAATTGACTTAAAACCATTTGGTGACTGAAGCTCTTAAAGTGGATTTAATATGTAGTCCAACGAGCAAACCATTGAAAAAATTACAACAAGCAGATGCATATTTCCCGAGGGAGGCACAGCTTCATTTAGGAAGCACTACAGGCAGACAGCATGGAAAATGTTTTGTTTATTCTAATCAGGAGGATGAAATGGAGCATGCAGTTGCATCTAGACACAGATGCTCCGAGGAGCCTGCTATGGAAAGGGACCTGCCACGTGCCCTCGGCTCAGAGAACACTGGTATTTCTAGAGGACCCATAACCACTTTCGTGCCTGTAGACAACAAATACAAACTTGGCTGTTTACTTTGTCCGTGTCCAAACACACAGAGGCAAGCACCCCCACCACCCCTGCTTTCTTTGTCTGCTGGGGCTGGAGCACTCCACCAGGCTAGAGGAGGGAGCTCAATCGCAGGACCCCAAATTCTTCCCTAGTGCACAGAGAAGTAGTTCACCACTCTGGCAGTATGTGTTTCTTGGAGCAGTGAGGGTCTGGAGAGGAAAGGAGAGACACAAAGTTTGTTTACTCAGACTCGACTTTTTCCATATCTGGTATTAGGCACATTGGTGTTATCTCAAGTTGCTCAGGGATTCCGACTCCCCATGGTTCAGCATGGAAGAAGAAGGAAGTGCGTGCTTGTGTGTGTGTGTGTGTGTGTGTGTGTGTGTGTGTGTGTGTGTGTGTGTGTGTATGTGTGCACGCACTTGAGAGAGAGAGGAGAGGGTGCAAGAGACAGAATATATTTGAAATTTTTGCTAACTGTATACATCTCTGACTAGTTCAAGGCTCAACACACAAATTTCATGCAGTGCCTTGATTTCTGGGGTTTTCTGACCCTGACTACATTCTGGCTCAAATGAGCCATAGCTCCTAATGTGAAGCATCCCCAGCACTCACAGAGAGTGAAAGAAGGGGATGACTCTAACACATCCAAGTAGCAAACTGGTACCTAGAACCACTCTTACAAATAGCTCCTTTTCCTCAAACTGTTCCCATACAGAGCTGGATGATGGTAAGGTGTGCCAACTCCCCTGGCTTCCAACATGACCTGCTGTTGCAGGAGGGGAAGCTGGGAAGGCAATTGCTTATTTATGACTTCCCAGGGATTTCCACTGCAGGAACTCTGGAGTCCTTGTCTCTTCTGTCCCAAGCACATGTGTCCCAGCCAGATGGCACAGAACCCACGCCAGCTCCAATGGATCTTATTGCACAGGAATCTGGGGACAGGATACATCCTCTCTTTCCCTTCCTTTGGCTTAATCCCCTCCTGCACCATTTCTCCTCCAAAGCTGGTACCTAATAGTCTGAGACAGAAGGAGGCATGGCTGTCTGTCCTTGGTGCTACTGTGTCTCCCCACTTTTCCTTTGCTGTTTCTTTGCCTCTCAGCCTCTTTCCTCTTTCATCTGCATCATCACCACTGTTGGAATAAGAATTGTGCCTGGCATTTTATAAGGTTCTGTGAGTTAATGTTCATAAAACATCCTTTTCTGGTTGCATATCTTTTTTTTTAAAGAGTTATTGATTTTTATTGGAAAGGTAGATTAGATTTATGGAGATAAGGAGAGACAAAAAGATCTTCCATCACTGGTTCACACTCCAAGTGGCTACAATGGCTAGAGTTAAGCCAATCTGTAGCCAGAATCCAGGAGCTTCTTCCTGGTCTCCCATCTGGGTGCGGGGTTCTAAGGCTTAAGATCCTGCTTTCCCAGGCCACACAAGCAGGGAACTGGATGGGAAGTGAAACAGCTGGGACATGAACTGGCACCCTCATGGGATCCTGGCACTTGCAAGGTGAAGGTTTAGCTATTATTGAGTCATGTTGCTGGACACCCGGGTGCAGATCTTTTTAACAAAGGATGAGAAATAGCTTTCTTTCCTAGGTTATCTTTTGCTAAGTCTTGATAGAGCCCTCAGGGTTTTACAGTTTGGCTGCTAGGAGGCACTAAGACCTGTCACAGTGCTGTCAAGCAGCTCCACTTGGCCTGGTATTAGTTGACCTTCATGTTGAAGGAAGAATGACATTTCCATAGGATTTCCACTCTAAAGGACAATTCCACTCTAGAGGAGGGGGTGCTTAATGTGCCCAGTCTTTGGGATAGGAAAGGCAAGCTACATGGAAGCAGGACTTGGAATCTAGGCTACATAGGTTCCACTCCTGGCTCAACTGATAACTAATTGTTTCTCTTGGGGATTTTATTCTGAGTTCTGAATTCCACATCTGTAAAATAAGTGAGAGGATGCTTGTGAAGGACTTAGGGCAGCTTCTAGCAGTGGCACCCCAAAAATGTGAGGATTTCTCCTGTAGCTTAGCAGAAGGGATGCTCAAAAGATGCTTGTTTGATAAGCGAATCAGCTCTTTATGTAGACGAAGTTATACCATCCCTGGATAACAACTGTTATTGATCCCCAGTCCCCGAGACTTTCCACACAACTCCTAGTGGGTCCCACACACAGAAGACCTGAAACTCTGCTAATCTCAAAGTCGTTGCCCGGAAGCGAAGATGATATAACTTGGGATAGCTGGGTTATGGGAGCTGAAATTTCCTTTTAGGGATGAAGATCTTCAGGATTCTAGGTGCTATGGAAAATTCTAGGAAAAAAAAAAGCTACAGTTGAAACTGATGGTCTGTTAAAGTTCTGAAGCCTGAAAACTGGATGTGTTCCTACAGACAGTGAAAGTTTCTCATTCCATGTGCCTGGGATGGGTGACACAATGACTTGGTCCCTAAACCTCTTACTAGCCACATGTGCTGCCAAGGGACTGACCCAGATTGCTTTTTTGGTGTCCAGAGCATGGCCTCTTAGGTCTCTGTTCCTCTTTTAAGGATACATGATCATTTAATGAGCAAATATTCAACTCAACAACAGTCATGGAATACCCACCCATGCACCACTCTAGCAGTAATATTTTCAAAATCCCCTGTTTGCTTCTGTCAGCAAAGAGGACATCTCTGGCATGTTCTAATCCTTGTTTTTATTTACACAGTTTATTTTTATTTATTTGAAAGGCACAGTGACATGGTGGAGGCGTGGGTGGAGAGAAGGGAGAGGGAAAAAAATGAAAGACCAGAAGACAGCAGACCTTCCATCCACTGGTTCACTCCCCCAAATAGGTTTAACAGCCAGGGCTGGGCTGTGCCATGCCAGGAGTCAGGAACTCCATCCAGGTCTCCATTGTGAGGGGCAGGAGTCCAAACACTTGGCCATCCTCTGCTGCTTGTTCGGATGTATTAGCAGCAGAGAGTTAGACTTGGAAGCAGAACAGCCAGACTTGAACCAGAGCTGCAACAACCTGCTGTACCACAGTGTCAGCCCCTAATATCTAATATTTACAGAGCAGATGATAATCAGCCCAAACTCCCTTGGCCATCCACACATGGAGTTTTCAAGAGGAGCAAAGAAAACACCTGTCATGAAAAACTGCATGCATTTCAAGATCTTTTTAGTACCATTTATCTTTTCAGTACCAATGTATCTTTTAATTCCATTCCCTGTGAATTTTTAAAGTCTGCTTATGTGTGTGTATGTGTAAGATGTATGCTACTATACATAAAAAATAATTTTAATGGCTCTCTCTCTTTTTCTCTTTCTCTCTCTTACATATATATGACTTTGCAATAAAAATAATTTAAAATAATTTTAATGAAAATCATGTAAATTCATAATTATATAACTGACATGCTAATAATAGCAAGATGATATTACTGAATGCCTCTCTCTCTTTAAAGTATCGCACAAAGGGGTTAGTCTGATTTAACCCCATTGCATCCCTACAAAGCAGTCCTCCTCATTCCTTTGAGTGAGATTCTGGGGTTAGTCAGTTGTGGGACAGACCGCAGCTCACACCACTCAGCTGGGGTCTGATGCCAGCCTCGATGGCTTCTGGCCTCAGTGCTTCCCCATTGTGTCTTGGCAACCTCTCTAATCAACAGGGAGAAGTGACCACACCACCATTTCCCTGTCTCTGGAAAGTGATGCCTGCAAGATCCAGACCTCTAGTTCACATGTACCAATTTTAAATCGTTTTTATTTTTATTTTATTTTTTTAAGATTTATTATTATTATTTTTTTATTGGAAAGACGGATATACAGAGAGGAGAGACAGAGAGGAAGATCTTCCATCCAATGATTCACTCCCCAAGTGAGCGCAACGGCCAATGCTATGCTGATCCAAAGCCAGGAGCCTCTTCCAGGTCTCCCACGCTGGTGCAGGGTCCCAAAGCTTTGGGCTGTCCTCAACTGCTTTCCCGGGCCACAGGGAGGGAGCTGGTTGGGAAATGGAGCCTGCCGGGATTAGAACCAGCGCCCATATGGGATCCTGGGTGTGCAAGGCGAGGACTTTAACCACTGCGCCATTGCGCTGGGCCCAATCATTTTTATTTTAACCAGCCCAAACACACCCACAGAACTCCGTGATGGTCACATGCGTGGACCAAAGGAGGGAAGGATAGGAAGCCATCTCACATCTGTCTGAAGCCGAGAACTTGTTTTGTCTGAATTACTTAGATACACTGCACAATCCCCAGGTTTGATTGAGCACCGTAAACACAAACTAAGCACTATATGAAGTTCTTGACGTTTTCATGTAGTGAGAGGATGTGTCCGTATGTCTGTGTCTCCTGGACCTTCCTCCTGGGGCCGCAGGGTAGCACCTGTGTAAAGCATCCTTACTTGGATACTTCCTGAACACGCACTTACACACAGGCTTCCGTATGTACCACCTAGTAGCCATGTGTGGCCACTCAAGATTACTTTCAAATCATTAAAATTACATAAAATTTAAAATTCAATTCCTAATTCACACTTGCTTCATTGCAGGTACCTTGCCACTTGTAGCTAGTAGTACTTACATCTTGGTCAGGACAGTGTAGCTCATTTCCATAAAATTGGAAAGTGCTATTGCAGGTATTACCCCAAAAGTTAACTTGTAACCACTGGTCAAAGAGGGCAGAAGTTTATAACAATATTTTAGAAAAGTTTTTTTTTTCTCAGTCTGATGTTTTCTTCTCTATTTTTTCCACAGGAAAAGAAAACTCTTCGAAGAAGAAGGAAGCTGGAAAAAGCAACCAGGCAGTTGGCTAAGCAGGAGGAATTGAAACGACTCCATAAGGCTCAGGTCAGAAAAGAACTTGAGATGAAGCAGCCCTGGGCCTGGGGTGCTGGGATTCTAGATCAAACATTGAGTGTCTGCTTTGCACTGGGGAAAAGAGAACTTCCTCTGAGAAACCAGGTTTGCGGCATCTGTAAGGCCCTGGCTCAGTGCCTGGGGTGGGGTACTGTGGGGCCTTTAGAGCCAGGAGTTGAATTGGCATGTTCCCAACCCCCTTTCTACCTGCAGACATATGCAAAGGGAGGCTGGAACAGGAGCCAACACATGGCCTTGAGAATCATCCTGGGCCCTGGATACTTTTAGTTTTGTCCTGTATGAGGACAAAAAGCCTCCATGAACTCCATGACAGTCCCTTTGTTAAACAGATAGCAGCTAAGGGCTAACTCCAGGGCAGGATTCACTGGAAGCGTCACTACCCAGCACTGCCACGTGGACCTCCAGCTTGGTTGTTGACTCCAAACATCTCTGCTGCAGGTGCTCTGTCCAGCTCAACCAGCCAGTCAACCCAGAGCAGAAAAATCACAATGGGCTCCAGCTCCCCGCAGACCTCAATTCTAGCCTTGAAGGACCCATGGCCTTAGACAAACCACACATGTTGATCGACTCACAGGCCCTTAGATCTCTGTCTCCAGTTGACCACACAATCCTATGAATTGTTTCTGGCAAGAATGAGGTTACTTTAAAACCTCCTATACCTTTTCCCAGGGGGTTAATTCAGGAGCTCCCTTCCTTTGGACACTCCCCAAAACTCCCTTCTATCCATGCTCAACTGCAAAAATTGATTTCCTTGAAACCTTTCAACACTGCCTCCTAAGAAAAAGGGCAAATCTTTCTGACCCGACCAGCAAATGCAGAGATTTCGCCTCCTTATTTTCTTACTCCAGACAGTGTTAGTAAGCGAAGAATTGGAATGGCCTTTTGAGTCCTAAGCTGCCTCCTTCATGTCGAGATATTTGCTCTTTGTTTCTAATGGAAGAACACCAGGTCACTCTGCTAGGGCAGTCATAACAAAACAGCACGTTGTGGTGGCTTCAGAACAGTTATTTCTCTCTCGGTTCTGGAACCCAGGAGTCCAAGATGAAGGTATCCTCAGTCTTGGCCTCTTTCCCCAGCTCGCAGAATGCTGCTCTCCTGCTGGGTCCTCACAAGGTCTCTCTTGTTTGTGTGTGTAGGTGGGAGGCCAGAGTGGGGAAGAGAGATTGAGGTCCTTGAGGTCTCTTCCTCTTTTAAAGGGCATGAAGTCTCTCAAGACCCCGCCCTCCTGACCTCATTTAACCATAATCACCTCCTTGCAGGCCTACTCTTCAAATACAATCCTATCGGGGAGCAGGGCTTCCATACATGAATTTAGAGGGGACCCAAACATTTAGCCCATAGCAACCGCATGCTGTAAGTGCACAGCTATCAGCAATAAAGTCATTTAACATATTTCCCTTCTTCAGTGATTCCATACTATGCCAGAAAGAGATGGATTTCTAGAGATTTAATTGACTTCACAAGAGAAACCAACAGCAAGAGGGCATGAAATTACAAGTCATTTTAGATAGAATTTCTGTCTATTTCAAATTATATGTTTTGAGGCTTGAGCACTTGCTGGGGCAAGAAGAGCCTAGGACAGGGGGGTGGAGAGAGGGGCACTTAGGTCCCACCCCTGAAGTGACCTTTTTACAGGATTGGATGGGCTTGGAATGCCTCAGCTACTCTGGCCATGGTTCCTAGAGAGACTCAGGAGACTGTGGGGCTAAGAGCAAAGGGGAGTGAGAGGAAACTGAAGTAAGGGGAGAAGAGGAACAGGAAGCTTTGCACAGACAGTGACTATTCCTTTAACTTACCTGTTCTGCCAAGAGCTGTGCCCTTGGGCTGCACGGCAGTGTTTGAAGGCAGATACCATCGGTGGGATGAATAAGTTTATGTAGAGAAACTTCTCACCTGGGCTTCCTTCCAAATGCACATAGGAGTAAAGTAGCCAGTATAGAAAATACCAATAAAGGCAAACCTGATCGTGACTCCACACCTTAAAAGGTATCTCTGATGGGCTGTGCCCTGATGGGTTTAATACCTTGCAACTTATCCTCATTGCCATCAGTGACTCCACAGGGACCCTGGACATCATTTGTGCTGCAAGGAAACAATAGGTACAACCCGAAGCTAAGAGAAGGAGCAGGAGAGTCCGACAAAGCAACAGCAAGTCCCAGGAGTTGGCCCACTTCTCCACTACTGCCCATTTCTTGGAAGGCATCTGTAGGTTTTCTTGGGAGTGAAGAATGAGTGTGTGCTGGGCCTGTCCTGGGAGCCATGCTGCATTCTGAATAGTGGCTGCAGCTCTTGTTGCTGCTCAGTGGCTATGTTGAGAGATCATGGAGCCCAGCACCCCTGCCACAGAGGACATTTGTGCATCTGGCCTTTCAGAGGGAACTGTGCTTTTAGTATGCACCTGGGACTGGACTGAATGTATGCCTAGCTTGGGTTTCATAGTTAAGAGGGGACACCTCAGCATCTAGTGGTTTGGGAATTCAGAGGTCATTGTCCATTAATCAAAGCAGTGATACTCCAACTCAAGTGGGTCAGTCCCCTCGCCTGAGTCTACACGTGCAGATTGCCCATGTGACATGTGATCCTGGCATTGCAGGCCATCCAGAGGCAGCTGGAGGAAGTGGAGGTGCGGCACAAGGCTTTGGAGATCAAGGGCGTGAGACTGGAGAAGGCGCTGAGAGGAGAAGCAGGTATGACCCCATCCCGGTAAACAAAGCAGCAGGTCTGAGTCCACACGCTAAGGTTAGTGCTCAACTGGCCTTCCAGGCAAAGCTATGAGGCTGTGTCAGCCCCCAGGACACTTGTGGGAGTGCAAGAGTAGTGCCAGATCTACTTCTAACACCAGGGGCGCTGGTCCATCTGTGGGACCTCTTACTTGGTGACTGGTCTGCCCAGCTTCTCTTCCAACCAGCGTGAATGCTCTTTGGCTGTCAGAGGTGAGAAAACATTCAGGACACACATTTGAGTGTTTAAGCAGAGTCGGTAGGAACTCAAGGCTGAAAGTTGGGGTCTAAATTGTGGTGTCTCCTTTTACTGTAAAAATGAGCTTGAGTCAGTCACTTTATAAACCTTTGAACATTTTCATTGTCTCATCTAGAATTGGGATAACAGTAGTTCTAGAGCTGATTTAAAGATTTAAAAAAATGATATCGAATGCTCCATTAGCCTATTTCTTGGTTAACGCAGAGGAGTAGATGGTAATGATTCCATAGATGGCATAGATGAGAGGCAGAGGAGGACAAGGCGCTAATCCTTGAGGTTAGGAAATGCAGAGCCAAGTCTCAGAAGACAATCTCCTAACCCATGAGGAGCCAGGTGAGAGTTTCCAGGTAAGGGGCGACTCAGACACCACTGGATCTTTGAGGGCCCCCAGTGTGGCTAATAATTTGGAGGGGCCCTTAGAATTTGCTGAGCAAGGGCAGATGTTGTTTCTTTAGCTCTGTGATGCCCTCTGCCTTCTGGATGTGTAGCCTGTGAACCACCATACTTTGTGCCACATTGTCAATGGTGTGTTGCTATCCAGTAATTCAGGGGCAGGCCAGGATCTCAGTTACTGTGAAAGTCAGACTATTTGTTAGTGGATGACACTAGCCAGGGCAGACCTGGATCTCCTGAGGCCTGAAGCTCATTCAAGATCAAGCAGGGAATATCGGGGGGCCACTCTCAGAGCCTGGCAGGGACCTGTTGAGTAAGGGAATGGGGAAGGTGTGGTAGGGAGGGCTTCAACTTTCTGAGCTGCCTGATTCATGTGTTGCTACATAGCAGGGAAGTGCTGGAGGTTGACTTCACCCATCTGTGCCTCAGTTTTCTTGTTTGAAATGCAAGAGTGAAGACCATACCTGTTTCTTCCAATAGTGGTAAGGGTTGGCTGAAATTCGTGTGAGACTCCCATATGCGGGGAATGCCCAGCATGGAGTGGATGATTTATCAGGAAGATTTCCTCCTGTTCCTACTCAGATACACTGTAGATTTTCCCACAAAGCTAACCACACTTGCTCATCAGAAGTGAAGTTTCTTACAGTGCTTGGACTCTCGTTAGCAACTCACGCCAGTGGGAGACATGATGTAGTCTTCAATGAACCGTGTGTTCAAGTTGTGGGAAAACCACTTAACTTTTCTGACCTTATACCCCTCATCTGAAAACTGGAATAATAATCTTCATTATGAGAGTCAGGAGGTGTTGTAGGGAAAAGTATGCGTGTACTACATTGTGGGCATTCAAAAACCAAAATCACCTAAATAGAATTTTAGCAAACACTTCTCAGTATCCAAAATAGATTAGTATTTTGCAAGATCTTTCTAAAAATTTTAAAAGATGTCATTGTTTATTTATTGATTAGAAAGGCAGAGAGGCAGAGTGATGTATAGACAGATAGAGATCTGTGTGCTTGTTCACTGCCCACTTGGCTGCTGGGCCTGGATCTGGGAGCTCCATCCGTGTCTTGCTCATGGTGGCCCTTCTCCATGGCTTCCCAGGAGCAGGGAGCTAGACCGGAAGAAGAACAGCTGGGATTTGAACCAGCACTAAGACTCAGGATGCTGGCATTGCGAATAGCGTCTTAATCCAGTGCGTCGTAGCACCAGTGCCAAGAATTATCTTTCTTTGTTGCTTAAAATTTACATTACAGAAAGACAGTTTTTAAAGCTTCTTTTGCCAATTCCTTACATCGCCAGTGTCTCATGTGTGTGTTTGAGGGGAGGGAGCTATCTGAAGTTGGAGCTCAAGAAACCCAGCCAGTATGCTGTGTCTTCAAAGGTGCGCCAAACCAGCCAGAAGATGGATTTTGTTAATTCCCTTTCTGTCCTTGGTAACTCAATTCCCCTGCTGCTAAGTTTATGGGCCTTTTTCTCCTTGACTGTCCTTGTGCAGGTGACAGAGGCAGCTCAGCCAGGGTTGGGGCATAGAAAGAGTTAAGTCATAGAAAGTGGCCCCAAAGGAAACCACGTGGAAGATTTGTAAAACAGGCATCAAAATTAATACACTGTAACTTGTAATAACATTTGTGCAATAATAATATTCCTGTGCAGTTCAATATTCTACTCAGTCCCTTTAAGAGATGGCCCTGTTGCTTAATGAATGACCAATGCTTATTAGGTTAAGTTGTATTTGAGCTGGCCTGTGCTGCCTCAGTTCAAGTGATTTAATGGGAATTATTTAATAGGTATTATTAGGATAATTAGAAAATGATCACAGTTAGGCAATAATATTGAGCTATAAAGGTTGTGAATAACCAAATTTAGAGACAGGCCTGAAAACATGAGTCGGCTGCGACAGTTTGCAAGGCTTCTCTAATAATTACGTGAGGCAGCCTGAAAGCGTCTTTTGTTCCTGGGAGTTATTCATTAGGTGGGCATTGAATTAGAAGAACACGCGGGGGTGCAAGACAGAGGGCCAGGGAGGCTGATGAGCAAAATGAGGCTTTGATGAGCTCCTAATTGTCCTGACAACAATCCTCGCTTTCTTTTTTTTTTTTTACCCCCCAGCAGTCAGAGAAAATCTTCACCACCCCTGGGGCTGGGCCTTCTCCCATTTTGTCAAGAGAAGGGAAACAAAGGAAAACAAAAATCTAACAGTCCACCCCTGGATGACAGGTCATTTTGCTTGGCTCTGTGTGTGTGGCTGGGGGGACGTTGCGATGAAGGGAATGCTGGCTTCCCCTCATGATCCTGGCTGGCCAGGTGAGAACTCTGGCTCCACATGAGGCTGATTATTTCCCTGGAGTCAGAGAGAAAGCCCAGCGTTACATCGCCAAACACTTAACCTCCTCTCGGTTCAGGGACTGTTTGCCACCTGCTGGTATGTGGGATGTCAGTGAGCTGGCCAGGGTGACATCCTGGTGCCCTGGAATACCCCAGCTGAGCAAGTGACTACCCTGCTGATCTTGATAGCAAAGATAAAAAAAAAAAAAAAAGCATCTGTGCTTTCTGTCAACACCTGGAGAGAGGCAAAGCCAGAGGGAAACTAAGAGCAGTTACTCATGAGGAAGGATTTATCCCCGGGAGGGGGATGAAAATGGTCCCTCCCTGCAGCTATCCCAGCCTTGGGGAAGGTTGACCAGTTAGTTGTCTGCCTTGATCTTGCCTTTTTTGGAGCCAGATGGGCTTTCTTACACAGAGATGATCTGGCTAAGAGGTCGCTAGATTTGCCAGGCTGCCAGCAGGTGGCAGCAAGAGTACACCTGCTGTGAGCAAGTCTGCCCAAGACCTGCCAGGAAGAGAGAAGGAATAGGAGTGAGAATCTCTTAGACAGTGAGGTGTCCTGGAGAGAATAGAGGTGGTCAAGTCAGACATTCTGGAGTCTGAGTCTCCCGGCAGCCATTAGACAACAACAGTGATGTACAGTGGGACTGACCAAACACACCTTACAGGAATGGCATAAAGATTACATGAGAGGCCTGCAACTTCATGGATGTTCACACAGATTCATTTCTTCCATTTCCTCTTCTATCTAACATTCTAAAACACAGATGCATACTGAGTTATTCCTCAAATAGTATATATTTTTGGAATTTATATGTGCACTCTGTTATAATATTATTATATCATATACTCCATAGGAGAGATTTAAGCCTACCTTTTTATTTTTAAGGACTTTAAAATTTATTTTGAAAAGCAAAATTGCAAAGAGAAAGTGATAAACACATAGAGAGAAAGATTTTCCATCTGCTGGTTCATTCCCAAATGGCCTCATTGGCTGGCATTGGGCCAAGCAAAAGCCAGGAGCTTCATTCCCAGCTCCCACATGGATGACAGGGCCATATCCATTATTTTTTTCTAGGTCATTAGTGGAGAGCTGATTGCAAGTAAAGCAGCTGGAATATGAACTGGCACCCATAGGGGATGCCATTGTTACAGGTGAAGGCTCTACCCACTGCACCACAATGCCAGATCTGCTGACCTCTGTAAATAAGTATAACGCTTAGATATCACATGACTGGATCTCAATGTAGACTCACATTGCTCATCACACATACCCAGCCCCCAGCCCCTGCACAGTCACACCCAGAACAGACCCCAGTAAAATTAACTTCACAATGAGAGGAGAACACCTGCTCTCCTACAGTCTACTTACATATCTGGGAATGGACTTTAGGGAATAGATGTCCACAGGAAGTCATCTCTAACTGCTTGTTCTCCGGGTGTACTGAAAACTGATGTGTTCAGGTTTGCACCATCTGGTCAGTCATTGCTTGGGGGGTGGTTACTGTACCTTCAGAGGTCAGCCAAGCAGGGAAGGGTGGAGATCCCTCTGAAAACAAGCAGCTGTATGAATGGAAACATACACAGATCATGCTATTTATTTATTCATTTAAAATATTTATTTTATTTTTATTGGAAAGTCAGATCAACAGAGAGGAGGAGAGAGAGAGGAAGATATTCCATCTATTGATTTGCCCCCACCTAGCAGCTGCAATGGCCAGAGCCGAGCTGATCTGAAGCCTGGAGCCAGGAGCTTCTTCCGGGTTTCCTGCACAGGTGCAGGGTTCCAAAGCTTTGGGCTATCCTCCACTGCTTTCCCAGGCCACAAACAGGAAGTTGGATGGGAAGCAGTGCTGCCAGAATTAGAACCGGCACCAGTATGGGATCCCGGAGCATGCCAGGCAAGAACTTTAGCCACTAGACCACCACACTGGGCCCAGATCACACTATTGATCACACCGCAAAATGATGTTATTGGAAGAGGACACCA